TTTGCTCATTAAATTCGACACCAGTGGAACAACTCACTGTTGTGTGCGCCAAATAAAATGATTGACAATACAGAATTTCAGTCCATTTTTTTTTCAAGGGTAGGTTTATTTCTCAAAACCAGAATACCTGAACATAAATCAAATGTGTAAAAGAGGTCCTTTCCCCAGACTCCGAATCTTCTACATGGACCTGTCTGAACCCTGCAGGTCTCTATCTTAATAGAGCTGGTAATTGGCTTTGCATCTAAGGACTATAGCATCATAGCTGACTTGGTCTCTGGCCTCAGGTCCATCACCTGTGTGGAACTAACTCCTCCTCCCTTAAACAGATGTTCAATAGGCATTGGTTGATGCCAAAAAAATGAATATGTTTAGCACATTTGTGAGTTAGAAGATCGGAAGCTGTTTTGTTGCTTATAAAATATGTTTTTTTTATGCTAATCATGCCCAGGAAATGAAAGGTACAGCCAGCATAAGGGGCACGCAGAAAAATATGAAAAATGGGATCCAAATCCAGCTCTTACCAGTGTAAATCTGAATTAATCCCATTGAAACAAATGGTTGATACCAGGGATGTTACACCAGGGGATGTATCATACTAGACCTGGCTTGTGTGTATACTCTCTTTCTAAAGCATCCACTACTTGCAACTGTTGGAGACAAAATACTGGGCTAGAGGGACCAATGGCCTGACTCAATATGTCACTTCTTGGACGAATCTACACAAGACACGTGAATGAGCATTACCCTAATTTAATACACATTATGGGCACATATCAACATGTGTGCACCCTTAACGTGCATTAAAAATGGTGAAATTAAGCTAATTGCAACTAAATTCAATACCTGCGAATGCACAATTAGTTAAAGCGTGTTAACACACATGTAGATGCAATCTGGCACTAACTTTAGTGCTAGGTCTGCCCCAGCATTAGGGGCACACAGCAGGGCTGCAGGGACTTGGCACTAACTTTAATGCCAACTCTCTGCACATATAGACACTTGCCAAAAATTGCTTAATGCACATTAGCTTAATGCACATTACATTTAGTCATGCTTAAATGCATGTGTAGATGTGCCCCTTGTGTTCTTACTCATGGCATTCTTGTCATTCTAGTCTGCAGAGAAAGAGGCAGGGACACATCCCCTATTCACCTGGTGACTTTGTCCCAGCTAATACTGCCTCCAGCCAATGGAGAAATACTGCATTAACCGTTATTGGTCTACCCAAAATCCGAGCCTCAACACACTGCTTAACATCAGTGTGTTGACAGGTAAGTGGCATCCCTAGCACAGCAACTCACATAGCAACTTTAAAGCTTTAAAGCCAAAGCCCTGCAATACTTATTCAAATCAAAGAGGGGTTTCCATTGGCCTTAATGAATGTAGCATCAGTCCAAGATACCTGTATTCAAAATGCTGGTCATGTCTTGAAAAGAAGGAAGGTCAACTGCTTAGTCTATAAACAATGTGTATATGACTGTAGGGAACAAAAATGCCTCAGCAAAGGAATGGACTACACAACCTCATGTGTTTTTCCATCTGGAATGTCAGTTATGTGTCCTTTTCAGCTTCAGATCCTGGTCCCGCACCAATAAAGCCATTGTCTCCAATGACAGCAAAACTAAGGTATAATTAAGGGTAATGTTGGGTGAATCTTAGAGCTCTTAACCCCTGGATTGTCTATCTATTAACAGCTGAAACTGGTTTTAAGCACTTGTTAGATGGCTCAAAGTTATGCTACTCTAAGGCAGAATTATCTCTGAGCAATGCTACCCAGCTCAAGTTGCACTACGGTGTAGACGCTCTAGGATACACCTTAGTGTAAACTCCCACCTTCCCCCCGCCAGCCCACATCAGGCCCACTGCCCGCCCTCCCCAGATCCCTGCTCATTTCCCCACATCCCTCAGTTTACTTGTGGCTGCCCATGCTCTCTGTCCTGGAGGAGCAGGCAGAGAAGGGTAAAACAGGCTGCCTGGCCTCCACTACTTCAGCTCCGTAAGTGCAGAGCAGCAACCGAGCCGTGCCTGCCGGGCAGGAAGGTTAAGCCTTCCCCGTCTGCTCCCCTGGGACAGACAGCCGGGCAGCTACAAGTAAGCGGGGCAGAGGGGCAGAGCTGGGCCGGAGGGAACCCTAAAGGGCAGGTCCAAAGCCCCAGGGGTAGGAGGAGAACCAGGGGAGGCCTGGAGGGCAGAAAGCAAGCCCAGAATGGGTGGGGGTATGGGTATTCTTACCTTTCCATCCTCCAGGCCCGTGCTGACCTGAAGTGTGACTGCACTCAACTCAAGCTAGCACCAAACTCAAGCTAGCACTAACACTGATCAACCTTTGTGTGGCTCACAGTGTCAGGTGTAACAAGGCCTTGAGTCATTCTCCATCAGGGCCTCGTTAAGAAAAGCAGTTGAGCACATGCTTATATGTAAGCACATAATTAAGTCCCCTTGCAGATGCTTTTCTGTACTGAAAATGTGATGATTCCTACCTGGGGCAGATAAGAGTTATTATTCCCATCTTGCAACTGGGGAAACAGGCAATTAAATGACATACCCAGACACCGAGTCAGTAACTCCTAGTATCTGGTAGCAGCTTAGACCTCAAGAGACTTTGGCTTTCTCTAATTCAAACTACATCAAAATGGCCAATACCAACCTAGTGTATGTGTTTATTGGGATGCAGATACTGGAGATGCGTAGAAAAAGCTTAAAACAAAAACATGGGACTCCAGGACATATATAACCAACCATGGTACATGATGTAATTTTGAGAGTAACTATCTCTAAAATACTGACATCATATTTTGACAAGAGCATCCGTTTTATAACATGGAACTATTCTGCATATGAAAAGGAGCATGATGAACGAAAGCATTGACATAAATATGAGATAAGCTCAAGCTATCAAGAGCCTGTTCCAAACTCAGCTGAAACCAACTGAAAGGTTCCCAGTGACTTACTGGGTTTTCGATCAAACCCAGAGTTCAGATTTGCATCTGAACTTGCCCAAAGTTCAAAAGCATCCTTACTTGGTATTCTACTCCTGATCTGGCCCATAGATTTGGGTTAAGCTCCAAAGTTTTGACAGGTATTTCCAAAATTTCCAGGACTTTGGATACTGGGTTTTAGTCCACACTCACCTCCAACATGTGCTACACATATGCATTTCATCATAATAATTTTATTTGGATTGAATAATTTCATTCCGTTTCCAGACTAAATGTCAGAGATTTAGGAGTGTCTGAATGGAGGGAAGAGAAATCAGGTTAAACTTTTTCATATTTGAGCAAAATTCTAGCTTATTTTTAACGGCATTTTCTTTCCAAAGGTGGAGATAAACCTAACAGTACTCCACCCAGCTATTTCTGAAGGCCTCTAATCCTATAACATAGTAAAACTGAAGGGAGAGGGAGCCATGTACCCTTCAGTAGTTAAACTCTCAGATTTTTTTTCCTAATGTGATCATTCTAAACTTTAGTAAAACGAACACGTAAAACCCTCCTCTTTACTCATGTCCATAATCCTTCACATGAAGTACCAATGACAGTTTAATGCTTATATCTTTTTTGGAGAAACTCTTTAATGGAGTACGAAGGTATCAACATTTACAATTTTGAAGCCTGGAAACGCCTACACATATGCTTAATTTTAAGCATACAAGCAGTCTCATTGAAATCTCTAGAGCAATTCACATGCTCAAAATTAAGTATATACACAGTGGGAGCATCTATACATCACCATACGGCATACTATGGCGATGTAGTGATCATGTGGGTCTACACGTGATTGCCAGCTATGTTGCCGTAATGGCAAACTGCCTGGCTATAGCGCACCGCCACAGCGACATAGCCGGTGAATGTAACCAGGCGCTTCCCATATGCCACAGTATGGGTGTCTACTGTGCCGTGTTTTAGTACTTCCCCCAAGCAAGTCTGAAAGTGTCAAGCATTGGTGGTTCAACGGTACAATTCCTGCCTCCCATGCACAAGACTTGGGCTCAATTCCCAGCGAACGCAGAGACTCCAGGTGATTGCTTTAGCTCAGTCCTGTGGTGCACCATGCAGGGTCTCTCACTGTGGGTGCTGAGGTCCTGGGTTCAGGTCCTGGCATCCCCCTGTTTCTTCATGGTAAGGGTAGCCAAAATTTGGTATGGGCCTCCAAGGGAGGTGGTGGTCTCTGCTACCTTAGGGGTCTTTAAGAGAAGGCTGGATAGGCATCTAGCTGCGGTCATCTGACCCTAGCACTCTTTAAGCTCCTGCCCAGGCAGGGGTTGGACTTGATGATCTGTTGAGGTCCCTTCCGACCCCAATATCTATGACATAGTGCAGTGCTAACATCACTGTACGGTGATGTGCACACATACCCAGTGTGTATGATCAGGACCTAATTTCCAGAGTGGGATATATCCAGTGGCTGAATGGCAGGTTTACTTTTATCCTTAACTTGATTTCAACAGCGTGACCTCTGTTTACACCAAGTCTGGATTTCAGTGAGCTGGCTGTGTAAGTACTGCAGAGACCTTACGCTCTCCTGCATAATTGTGCTCCATTATTTGCCCACTGCCAAGGATCTTGGATTATTTGTGACATTCTCTACCTGTGCCTTATCATTCTGCAGCATTCATTTCATCAGAGCTTTGGCAATGCACTCGCACCAACGATGACACGGAAAACCTGGTCGCTTATAGTTGCGAGCATCGCCAATCGTTGTGCGGGGGAACTGAGCGTTCATGAGTTACGAAAAAATAAAACGTTCTTCTTCACATTGTCGTGATGCTTCAAACAAGAAAAAGATGCCTTCTGCATGCAAAATAATTAAGCATATCCGCCCCCTCGCTATGTTAACCAAACACCGACGCATTGTCTCTTCCACCTCCTGTCTGACCAGGTGCCTTGCTACATCTTGGGAGCTAGGAAGTAGGGGCGCGGGGACTGGAGAGGGGGAGGGAGATCGTGACAATGAAACTCTACAGCTGGAAGAAAGGAACAAAAAAATAGTCCTCAGACCTTTGACATGCAGCAAGTTTAGGATGCCAGTGATGGTATCCAATAGCAACGTCTGGCCTCTTTCTACCGTGACGTTATCGCCATCTTGTGGTGGGTACCCATCAAGCCAGCTGGAGCTCTTAGACCACGGGCCGCAAAATCGGAGGCGAGCGTCTCTCTGAAAAGAGGAAAGAATCACGCTTAAAACTGACTTTTTACTTATGCACACCAAAATCCAAATGGGAGTAACTTTAAAATAGCTCACTTTGAAACAGAGTATAGCTTGGGACTCCTAAAGCAACCAAACCTGCAGTTAGGGGAGAATGGAACAAAGTTTTATGAGAAATATCTGAAATGAAGTTCATTTATTCTGGCAAGTTGATTGCACTAGTGATAGAAGATACTCATTCAGCAGCCAGCCCAGCCCATTTCCCCTTCCACATAAAATAGGAGAAAACAGGGGAAATCTACATTTCTCAGTGCGTTTTTCCTCCCTAAAACCAGAACTGGTGCAGAATCCAGCAGTCACAAGTACACCCAAAACAATCAGCTTGACGGGTGGCATTTAGAGTTGGTATTATTTTTCAAAGGCACTGCAGCCAGTTGTCCCTATTTATAGTGACATTCCTCTTTTCAAGTCCCTTTCCTCCTCTCTCTGCTTATTTGATATTATTATTGCCTTCTCCTCAGCAGCTCACACATTAGTTCCAAATGAAGCATGGGAAGAGGCATAATGCTGATTAACTTCAAAAACGGCAGACAAATAGCCTGGATCATCTACTCAGAGTGTGTGAATCGGCACCTGCGTGTTATCAGCCTAGCCCTCCATTTCCCTTCCTTAATTCCGGACTTTAATCGCATGCGTTGCAATGAAGGCTCGGCTGAATCCATGAAGATGAGCGCACATTCACAAACACTGAGAGGCAGACATACAGGCACAGAAAACAGCCCTCAGCCAGTTTGGGGGGAGATTTAATGTCGACGGTTTCATGGTTTTCATCAGGCTGTGGTTATCGCAAAGGAAAGACTTCCGGAGAGAAGCAAAACGAAGTACCTCATTTGCAAGCCCCTTGATGAAAGAGGCTGGTGTTCACAAAGGTTTTCCTACCTCCTCCCAGGCTGCATTCCCAAATAGAGTAGGTGGAATTTGTTCCATGAAACCTGTATGGAAAGGCCCCTTCAACTGCTCCTTAAAACTACAACCCTTTCCTCCTTAACACATCTCACCTCGAAACCCACCTGTGCCATTATTCTTACAAGCAACTACATGGCAACTATTGAGTATGTCAAGACATGCATTACATAAATGAGAAACCACAAAAGCGACCCCCTTTTGCTGCTGCACAAGTGTATATAATTGTACACTGAGCCATACATTTTTGCGGTCTCCTTCTCTCACGCCCTCCTTCCACTTACTAGACCCTACTCAACGGTCTACTTCACAGGTAGACCTAGGCCTACCACAAAAGCCAGGCCTAGACCTTCAGTGAAAGAAGCTCTTGGCAGCATGTTTAGAGAGCAAAGTTCATACTCTAACAAGGATAGGCCAGCTTTTGTAAAGCATTCACCACACCTATCCTCAGATCAAGGCAAGGATTGACACATGGGATTCACCTCTATGGTAGGAAGGTCTCTGTAGTAGAAAAGGCATTAAATCAAGACTCAGGAGACCTGGGTTACAATCTTGGTCCAGCCAAAAGCATCTTGTACCGATTAAGGCAAAGCACTTAACCTACTCTGGTCTCCAATGTTGATGTATGAAGGATGACACTTCCCTGGGTCACGGAGTGTTATCAGGATAAAACCATTAAGAGCAACCGAGTGCTTGGTCACCAAAGGGCCATGTGTGCTGGGACCTGCAAAAGCACTTGCCCCCTTCCCAAGTGATTCTTCTATGCCCTGCTGATTGCACCGGTCTGTTTAGGGATGCAGTCAAAGAGATGATTTTAATCAAGAAAGCCCCATGGGGCATGTCCCCAGATGCAGGGGTGTGCAGTTTGCCATGGCAAAAATAGCAGTGACACAAATTTGTGCCACTTACTGCCACTGCGCATGCCCCTGCACGTGGGGTTGGCATGGGGCAAATTGTCCCAGATGGGGTAGGGGAGGCTGAGGCTGCTGGTTCCAGCAGCCTTCTTTGGGATGCTGAGGGCCTCGTGGGGCAGCAGTGGCAACGATCAGCCTGGCTGATCGGAGCCTGGCTGGCAGCCAGCAGGGCTCTGGCCAGCTAGGCTCCGTTTCTGGCAGCGCGCACTGCTGCCCTGTGCGCCTCACCGCTTTTTGCAGTAATTTTTTTTTTTTTTTACACCAGGATCTCCCGGTGTCAGTTTTCAGTGCCACACTGTAAATCTGCAGCATGGCGAACAAGTTCACATGCTCTATGTGCAGTTTGAGGCCCCACAAACTGCATGTGCACACTCATTGGGATGCGCCCCTGGAGTTGTGCACCCAGCTACTTGAAAAGCTCTTTTCATCTGCCGTCACAATACGTGTGATAAATCAGGGGATGCTTCTGAAAATACTTCCCTGGTTTCCATATTGGTAAATTAAAGGCAGGTCATTCTCTGGGTCAGGGATATGCCCTTGTTAATGTTGTTACTTAAACAAAAAAAAAGTTTGAAAGAGGGTGCACTGCTAAGCACATCTTATTCAGCCAGGATTTTGCCTGAGTTCTGGTTTGAGTGAGTCAAATGTAATTTGTGTGGTGGAGATAGTCATTTTTTTCAATTCACTTGCCATCGGTCAGCTAACAAAGAAAAGCAGTCTGTCATAGAGACAGTTCCTACAACACCCAATGAGAGCAAGGGGTGCTGGAAAACATATGTTCAGGTAGAGATAAATTGAACATGATAGAAGTTTGTCAATAGGTAAAAGGGTGGTTATGAAAAGCACAGAGATCAATTATTCACCATTTCCCTCAGGTAGGACAAGCAATAATTAGCTTAATTTGCAGAAAACATGATTTGCAATATTAGAACAATATTATCATTATTATTACAATATTATTATAATCATATTATTATGATAATAATGATTACAATGTTACCCTTCCTACCTAGAAGGATAAGTAAGCACTGGAATACGCTACCTAAGGAGGTAAAAGCATGTTAAACAAATATCTCTAAGGGTTGGTCTAGGTATTCATAACAAATCTCAGAGCAGAGGGATGCAAGAGGTGATCGTTTCCAGACTTACATTTCTATCATTTAAAGTAAAGTATTTGCAATATTAGAATTAATCCATTGCACTCATCTCTCTCTGCTTCTTGGGATGCCTTTTTGGACTAAATCTTTTTTTTTCTTTTTTTAGGGATGAGCGAACCCCTGGATACCTTAGTCTAAACAGTATTATTTGTTTCCAGGAGTACAACAAAGTGTTGGGTGCTTTCCAAATATTTGGGAATGGGAAGGCTTGCTTTAAGGAATTAGACTGTAAATTTAGCTGGACATGCAGACAAAGTTTAGAGAGAAAGGGACACCAATATACAGAGTATATATAAATCAAGTCATAAAATCCTAGAATCCTAGAATTCAAAGAATCCTAGAAAATGAGGGTTGGAAGGGACCGTAGGAGGTCATCTAGTCCAACCCCCCTGCTCAAAGCAGGACCAGCCCCAACTAAATCATCCCAGCCAATTTATTTCACTGTGGAAGAAATGGGCCTTCAAGAAGGACTCAGATCTGGCCAGACTTGACGCCCTGAATACTAAATATTCATCACTTTAAAAACATAGGCTTCTCTTAGTAACAGAGTAATGGTGGGGAAAACAGATTATAAGAAGGAGGTCTTGGAAAATCAAGATTTATAAAGGACCCTTGGTAATGTAAATATATATTGCTTCATCGTATGCAGAATCCGCACAGCTAAGGGAACTGGTTTCCAATGGAAAACAAGCAAAACATGTTCAAGAAAAATCAAGAAATAAAACCGCTTCATTTCTTCTTCACCGCTTTGCAATATATTGCATCAGCACACACTCGTTTGAAAACTTGCTGGGCAAATCACCCTGTGCCTCAGTGGGCGTGCCTACATGTACCATCAGCAAGCAGCAAGAAAGTGTGGAGCTCATCACTCCGCAGTTTCTTGCTCCCGGGAAGCAACCAGGTGTGTGGTTTACACGTGTGCCCAGACTGCAGCACACTGAGCCAGGTCAGAGCAGCCCCAGGGGTCAGCCCACCCGGGGGTCAGCCTGCCAACCTGGGACTGCTCTCAATATGCTCAGCCTGCTGCGGAGGGGCTGGCTGGGGCATGAGGGTGCTTCAGTGTTGGGCTAGCCAGCAAGCCCTCGTGCCCCAGCCAGCCGGGTCAGCATCTACACGTGCGCTGCTTCTTGTGCATGAAAAAACTCTGCAGCAGGATAAGACTTGTATTTGCAAGTACTTCCCTGCTGCAGAGTTTAATAGTTGTGCGCACCCTAATAGGGTTAGGGTTAGTTAATGAGTCAACTGCTCAGTAAACATCTCCCACCATCTTACAGTTGATAGCTCCCTGTCTGACAGAGCCTCAGTCCATCGGTGTGATGCCTTTTGTAAAGAATTGCCATGAAATGGTTTGCCCTGTCCAAATCGGTGCTTTTAATGGGCTTGATCTCACACGCATTGAAATCGGGAAGGCTTCGTCCATTTGACTTCAACAAGCAAAGCATCTGATTCCTTAGGTTGTAATGGGCCTGGGCATAAAGAATATATTAAGTTGTTCTAGCTCTTAATGTTTAAATCTTGCTGTGGACTGCAAGACCCGTTAAAGAAATAAACACCATAACATTCAATGAAAACTGAGTCCCTTTCTGCTTTTTGGCTTCTTGTAAATGAAAGCTTCTCCTGGTTCCCAGAATTTCACCCTACCTCTTTCCATTTAGGTTCATTTATCTAACTATAGACTCTATAGACTATGTGGCTATAGTCCCTCTGTTTTCATACACATACACCTTCCCCCTGGTTAAAGGGGAGCTATCCCCAACACTCGATATACTGATGCTCCCAAGGCAAGTACGGATGCTTGCTGGAGTCCAGGAAGCTTCATCGGTCTTAAGAAACTAACTTGAAAATGAAATATGTGCACAAATAGCTGCTCCTTCCATTTATTTGTATCATTCTAGCACCTTGGGGCCCCACTGCGCAGGAGGCCACACGTACCCACCATGAGACAGGACCTGCCCCAAGGACCTTACAATCTAGA